AAACCACAGTGACTAACATTTTGGAATTTCTGAAGAAGGAAGTTGAAAGCAGAGAGCGTACGTTTTTCCAAACATCGCCAAACTATTCCGAGTTTAACATTAGAACCGAACAACATAAACATCAATCGCGAGACCTTATTAAAAGTGAGAAATATCATACTGTCTTCAAAAACAAACATTTTGTTCCAGCAGTTGCGTCGTTGAATACGAATACATCAACAGCCGATTGTATATTTTGTGGGAAGATAGAAAATGAATCTTTGAAACATTCTACTTCAAATTGCGCAATTCCAATTGAGGAAAAAAGAAAAAATTAAAATTGGCTAACAGATACTATTTATGCTATCGTAAGTCTCATACATCTGCCCGTTGCAGCTCGGATATACGCTGTGATTTATGTTCATTAAGGCATAATACTATTTTACATGATAATAAATTTGAAAATAAACGGGAAAATAAAGGTGAGCTTAAAACAGACAAAGTAGTGGCGTCGATTTCGGAAAGAGATTACAAAAATAAGATTTATTTACAAACTGAAATGCAGTAGCTTTAGGTCAGAATAGAAGAAAATATGTCAGACTCATTTTCGATTCTGCCTCTCATAAATCTTTCATCCTCACAGAAGTATCAAAACAATTGAAATTAAATGTTGTGGGGGAAGAAGAACTTCAGATTTACATCTTCGGCTCTACTGAGCCTATAGTTAAAAGGCTAAAAAAGGTTATTCTTAAAGATATATACGGACCTGGGAAAATAATAATTGAAGCTCTTGAAACTCAAGAAATTAACCAAGCTGTTATTGGTATGCCAGGAAAGGAAATACTTAATTATTATAAGGAAAATTCGATAAGACTTGCTGATGCTACAGATATAGGTGTCCATAACTCTCAAATATCAGTATTAATTGGTAATGATTATTACTGGAAAATAGTCACTGGGAAGGTTAAAAGATTATCAAAGGGTCTTGTTGCCTCTGAAACCTTATTTGGTTACACTATAAGCGGAACTGAAGCATTAAGTAATGTTTCTACACTTCATTCCAGAATTACGGTAATGAATGTTGTTGAGAATATTTCACATGCACATGATTTGGAAATTAGTGCAGCTCTAAAAAGGCTATGAGATTTAGATGCAATTAGAATACATGACTATTCAACAAACTGAAAATGACACTGAAGTTATGTGGTAGATTTGAAGAAACTATTGAAATATGAAACCAATCGTTATGAAGTTTCATTAACTTGGAAGGACAATATGAACAAAATGGGTAGTAATTATATCATCGCCTTAAACAGATGGAACAGTTTACTTATAAGGTTTAAGAAAAATCCTGAAATTTTTGACAAGTATTCAAGGGTAATTGAAGATTATCTAAATAAAGGAATAGCTGAAAGGCTCCGAAGAATTCTGAAGAAAACATCTATTATTTGCCACACCATTGTGTAATCAGAGAAGATCACGATTCTACGAAATTAAGGGTCGTATTTGATGCTTCCTCGCATACTCATGACTATCTTTAAATGATTGCTTACATTCAGGACCAAATTTAAACCCTGAATTATTAGATTTGCTAATTAAATTTCGTTAACACAAAATAGCATTTTCTGCAGATATCGAAGCTGCTTTTCTACAAATTCTGTTGAAGCATGAGGACAGAAATGCAGTAAGATTTCTTTGGACTTCAAGGGAAAAGGAGCAACCGACGATTTTAAGAATGACGCGTGTAATATTCGGAGCAACCTGTAGCCCCTTTTTATTGGCAGCAACTATAAAGCATCACGCAAGAAAGTTGAAAGCACAATATTCAAAGATCTGTCAGCTTCTTGAAAAAAATTTTTACGTAGATGATTTGATTCATAAGATAGATTTTGATTCACAGATGATAAGGAAGAAGCTGCGGACATTTATGAAGATGTGAAAAGAATTATGATGCTTGCTAGTTTCAATATGAGAAAGTGGAGGAGCAATAACGCCCAATTACATGCGATTTGGAATGCAGCTGAAAATACGAAGTTTAATGGAGACGGAATGAATAGCACTTTGTTAGGATATATTTGGAATCATGAAGCAGATAAACTGAAATTTCGAATCAAAGATGAATTACTCAAGGATCCGGCTGAGGAAATAACAAAACGGAAGATTCTTCAAGTTGCGGGCGAACTATACGATCCTATCGGTTTCATATCTCCCTTTGTTGTTGCAGCTAAAATGATGATGCAAGAATGTTGGCAAAGAGGTTACCAATGGGATGCACCACTTGATCAAGAATTGCAGAATCGATTTAAAACCTGGTATAATGAAATTCCTAAATTAAAAAATGTTGAAATTCCAAGACATTATTTTCAACAATCTGTCAAAAGAAATCTGTCGAATATTCAATTGCACTGTTTTACAGATAGTAGCCAAAAGGGATATGGTGCCATTGTATATTTGAGATACAATAAAAATGAGTTAACAAAAACATCATTTGTTATGTCCAAAGCAAGAGTTGCTCCCATAAAAACTGTTATGTTACCTCGATTGGAGCTTTTAGGAGCAGTCATAGCAGCTCGACTCATCACATACATCCGACATTCGTTGAAAAGCATAGAAATGAAGATTTATATGTGGACAGATTCAGAAATTGTATTACACTGGGTCAAGGCCGATCCAACAAAATGGAAACAATTTGTACGAAATAGGTGTCTAGAAATCCAAGAGAAAACTGATCCAGATTGGTGGAATTATTGTCCCAGCCATGAGAATCCTTCGGACTTATTGACGAGAGGTCAGAAGGTAGAAACCCTTTCAAAAAATGAACTGTGGTGGTATGGCCCACCTTGGCTGGTTAAAGATAACAACGTTTGGCCCAGACCTTTCGAGAAATTTTAATGAAGATGATAAAATAACAAGTTCTGAGAAACAAAAGAAAAGACGCAAGAAATCTTAACAGCAAACTGTATTGTTGGAAAAAGCGAACCTATCATTTCTATCGAGAACTTCAGTGATATAAAGAAAGTATATAGAATAACATCTTATGTTTTCAGATTTATCAATGATGTGAAAAACCCAAAACTAAGAAGAATTGGAACTGTTAAGGCTGAAGAGATGAATGAAGCAGAGAATTTCTGGATCAACAAAACACAGGAAGAAAATTTTAGAGAAGAAATAAGGAAATTATAGATGAAACAAAGCATACATAGTTCGAAAATATTTACATTAAATCCACTTGTAGACCCAAATGGAATACTCAAATGGAGTAGGTGGAAGGCTTCAAAATGCTGAATTAAGCTATAATCAAACATACCCAGCAATGCTATCAGAGAAGTCTCATTTAACAGATCATATCATTAAAGATTGTCACGAAACGCAAGGCACACGCTGGATGTAGCTGAAACTTTAACTCAAAGTTAGAGAAAACTTTTGGATACTTAAAGGGTCGACAGCGTGTAAAGATTAATATTAACAAGTGTGTGATTTGCTACAGATTTAAAGCTAAGCAACTAAGTCAGGATATCGCTCCTTTACCAACCGAAAGAATAACAGAGGCAAATCCCTTCGAAGTTGTAGGATTTGATTTTGCTGGTCCTATGAGTACAAAGGATGAACTGGGAAAGCTTATATGCTCTGTATACATGCGCTGTAACCAGAGCAGTGCATCTGGAAATTGTGTCTAGCCAAACAGCAAATAATTTTCTTCTGTCCTTTAGAAGATTTATTTCAAGAAGAGGAGTATGTCGAAAATATATTCAGACAATGCAAAAACCTTCAAAAGAGCAGACAAGGATTTACAAAAACTATGGAATACCATCAAGGACACAGAAGTCAAAATTATTTTGGTAATAAGGTATGAGTGGAAATTCAATGTGGAGAAGGCGCTTGGTGGGGCGGTTTTTGGGAAAGGCTTATAGATCTATCAAGTCATGTTTTGAAGAAAATACTCATGAAGGCTTCACTTAAATTTGAAGAGCTGGAAACGTTTTAATGAAATTGAGGCGATATTGAATTCGCGCCACTGACGTATGTTTATAGTGAAGTTGGAGAACCAGAACCGCTGACGCCAGCTCATTTTTAGTTGGACGAAGACTGACATCCTTACCATCTGGCAAAATTCTTGAACCTGATTCAACTAAAGAAAATTTAACAAGGCGATATAAATACCGGCTAAGGTTATTAGAAGAGTTTGGAAAAGATGGAAAGAGAATACTTACTTGAAATTAGAAACGTAAACAAATTCAGAGAGGTAATGCTGTAACAGATCTTTTGAAAGGCTCGTAGTTCTAGTACATGAAGAAAAATTACCAAGATTATTATGGAAGATGGGAGTTGAACGAAGTGTTATCCAGGACGAGATGGGAAAATAAGGGCTTGCACTGTCCGTTTAGCTAATGGAACTCATCTTCGTCGTCTTGTGCAGTTTTGTACCCATTAGAAAAGACTTGAACTCTGAACTGAATACAATGAACTTAAATTGCGAACACTGCATCTATGAACATTTAAACTGTAGAACATTAAAAACATTTAGTGTTTAAGATAACTTCAGAATCCAATCCTTTGATGAACCAAGAGTTCATCGAGGGGGAGGATGTTACAGTTTATGTAGCTGGCCACGAGAGGCGCAGCGGTTTTTTACTTTTAGCTTGTTATATTTTTTTACCGCATTGCGGATTTTTGAGATAGATGTAGTGGCAACCAGAAAAAACATGATGAATGTTCTAATGTAAGGCATACAATTCTTGTACATAGCTGTAAATAAAGCTTCTGTGTGATAAAAATGAAAAGGAATTCCAAGCGTTCCTGTGGATATTCATTAAGAAAGATAAGCAAAATTTCACTTATCAATGTTGTTAAATGTAAATAATAAGAATAAGAAAAAAGTTCATAAGTTGCAACAGAGCCTACACATAGTGTAATACGATGAAAAAATGTAATTTGGTTTATCAGTCAAACAAAAGATGATATATCATTTATACAAAAATTTAACTATGATTACTAATAATTACTTCTTTTTGTCTTCGTAGGCTTAGCCTTGAGCGTCAGAGGCTTAGAAAATGAGCCTATCCCTAAAGGTTTGGTGAGGTTTGCGAAAGGAAATCGTACTGACAAGCAACCTCTCCTGGTAATATTCATCGATGACAGCAGACAAAAATCTGGAAGTTTCTTGTCTGCACCAGAAGGTAAAAGCAACGAAATAAATTTTAATTGCCATTATTGTATTTTTGAATGTGCTTACATTTACTTCATTCCATATACATTCTTTTTCAAAAATTTGTAGTTTTAAACTAAAAGAGAAAAGAAATTTTGCATTTTTAGATAGCATTCTATGGTTTCAGCGAAAACATCGCAGACGCCGAGAAAACAACGCACGGAGAAAACATCGTGGTACAAAACATCGTGGGAGAAACATCGCAGAGAGAAAACATAAAAATATCGTGGGACAAAATATCATGGTCGTGGTACAAAATATCATGGTCGAAAATAAAGCGTTTTAAAACTTCGCAGTTGAAAAACATCGTCGTTGAAAATATCGTGTTAAAAAAAAAGTACCTGCAAATCATCCCATGACGATAAAATCGCATACATGCGTTTTTCAAATCGCATAGTGACATATTATGCAACTGACATTCGTCATAACTAACAAATCGACATCCAAAAAATTGATTGCACGCTATACATGGAACTGCTAACGACACATTAACAACAAACGGAAATAAAACGGTATGTAATTTTCATTAAAATAATATCTTATTAACAAATGTGAAAGAAAATAATTTGATCATTAACTAAGCAATTTTTATGGAGGTAACCTCATGCAGTTGTTTATCTTGCTTTTTCTAAGCATTTTTAAACTGTACTTTTCATGAAAAATTATCATTTAAACTTTATAAAATAAAGCTTAATTTATGAATGACCTTTGTTTATTAACTCTATAAATTTAAAATTTTACTAAGCTTTTTTAAGTTGCATTAATTTTCTACTCATTTTTAATTTTTAAATGCTTAGGTTTCCTTCTTATTTTTTTCAGCAAAAATTTATTAGTCAAATATAGGGCATATAGAAGTAAAAGAGTCACTCTTTCCTTCTTGCGCTCTATGTCCTTTATACGAACAAGCATTTACAACCTTTAAAACGCACGTGTGCGATGTTATCGTCATGCGATGATTTGTAGGTACTTTATTTTTTAACACGATATTTTTGACGACGATGTTTTTAAACTGCTAAGTTTTTTAACTGCTTTATTTTCAACCACGATATTTTGTACCATGATGTTTTAGAAATGCGATGTTTTCTTGCACGATGTTTTGTACCACGACGTTTTCTCCTTGCGTTGTTTTCTGCCCGACGTTTTCATCCGCGATGTTTTTGCCGCGACGTTTTCGGCGGACCCCCATTCTACAGTTCAAGAAAAGAAGAAAATCTTTCAACTGCTCCATTATGTTGCACCATAAATCCGTGTAGAAAATAAATTACAGGCCAATATCAATGTATACTGTAATATTAATGTACAATATTAATGTAATGTAATGTATACTGTAGTTTGGTAGCGATCTTCTTAATGGCTATGACAGATGTACAGGAAGGAATTAACACTTTATTATAATAAATAATAGCTCACACAATACGATAAAGAACTATGAATAGCTCAAGGAGAAAAATAGAGTGAACTCTCTTTAACATGCAAGGAATATCACACATCACTAAAATTACAGCTTCACCAAGCATAAGCTTAATATGGCCGCACAAAAATGAGTGAATAACCGAACTGCTTAATTCTCGACTTTAAAGTAGCCATTTTTAAGGGACTGCTTAAGTGCTTTTGGTACCTTTAAAAAATTCGTCCCTAGGGCTTTGCTTTTTCCTTCAAACTTCCAGAATGTCACCAAGTTTACAAAATATCCTCAAAGTTGCCAGTTTGGAGACAAAAATTATCTCGTTGCGACCTTATAGATAGGTCTCTGCCTACATCTTCGATTCTAAGAGAGTTATCTTTATAAGTCAGACATTGATCGATTGAGAATAAGGGGTAAAAATTTGTTAAAAAATACAAGATAAAATTACTACCTAAATAAATAAATAAAATTCTAATAAATATAAGAATTAAAAAAACGGAAAGCTTTAAGATTTTATATATGTCCAAAGGGGTGTTGTTAACGTTTTGTGTGTGACCTTTATTAAATATCATGTTCTTCGCATTTAAACCATAAAACTCAATTCAACAGCAATATCGCAAAATAATTTTTATCTTTAAAATTTCCGATGCATAATCTCGAGCGCTGGAGATAATTTTTTTTTTTCTTTTTCCGTACAGTGTTGCATGCTCGCTTGACCATCGTTGAGTTTCTTAATCAAAAACTCATAAATGCTTCAAAAAATATGAAATAGGAAAATAAATTCCAAATTCCAAATTTGGGCTCCCAGATGCCCATATTCCCGGGGGAGACGTGCGTTATTCAAAATTTGATGGCTCTTGGTACCGTTGTTTTATCATAATGCGAGAAACATACATGCATTTATACAGATTCTTCATTATTTAATTTCTTTACATATAATACAGAACGATAATATTTGGTGGCAAAAATTTAAAAAGTGATTCGCCGTTTACAGTGAATCAACGCAAAATTCCAAAACGAAATTAATAGTCCTTCTGGTTAAATTGCCCCTTTGGACTAATAAACAAATTATAAAATCCAAAATACAATAAAATAAGAAAATTACAGTATCATTCTTTGTGTTCTAAAATAATTTTTTTAATAATTTGTTTTATTGAATGGCAATAAAAATCGAAAACATTTAAGCAAAATCAAGAGACTTATTTACAGACAGAAAAATATTCGAACGCACTTGAAGAGATTGAAGGTGATTTTTATAAAATCTGTTAGCTATTTATTCTTATTATATACTAGATGATAATATAAATTTATCTTTGTCTAAATAAATGTGATTTTGTTTATTCATTTTTTAATAATTAATGCAGGTATCTCTTGATTAATGCCATTGAATTAATTCTTCGATGTTGCCACGTATCATAATATCACTCTACTCAAATAAAATCAATTGAAATTACATTTTTTTTTTCATGATTTAACTACTGTATTAGCAATTTATATAAATGGTATTATTATAAAAAAACTTTAGAAAATATAAAGCTTGCAGCCACAACAGTTACTGTAATTTTTATTGCTAAACAAAAAAGTTAAAAGGTAATCAAGAATCGTTTGAATAGTTTAGTTTTCTTTCTTATCAGTTCTATAATAACAAGCAAAATGGTATTGGCAAATGAAAATGTTTCAGTAAATATCTGAATTCATGTTCACTTCTCGCTGTTGAAGCGAATCTAAAATGTGAAATATTTCATGCAGTTTTCTTCGTTGTAATTCTTTTTTCACGTTGCTGTTCAGTTTCAAGCAGATCGTTGTCAGTTGATCTTCCGAATTCGAATCCAGTAAATCTAACATTTTGTACAGCAAATCACCAAAACAAGATCTTTGCAGTTATAATGGTTCCCTAACCACAGTGGCCAGAAGATAGTCCTTAATCGTCTTGGAATCTCATTTTCGCATTCAGCTCATTTTTTGTGTTCAGATATGCACTGCAGTTCTATATCAAGATCACTGTCTTTCAGATCTTCTCAGTTTGTATCCAATAATTTATTAAGATTCTCTGCATCAAATCTTCGAAACTAGTCTTTGCAAAGATTTCTGAACCACACTGTCAAAAGGCACTTCTCGAGACCTGCATCATATTTTGGTATGATAAATTTTAATGGCGCGTTAGTTAAACTCATACCACGAGTATTAAGTGATCGTCGCAATTAATTTCGCAGCGTTAGTCAAAGTAAAATCGCGTTAAATGAGAATGCCTGTATAATAAAATTTTTAAGTGTCTCTAATTGTTTATATTTGTACAGGCATTAATGTTATGATCTTTTTTTTATTTTCAAAATATTTGCTTCTTTCCTTATGTAATTAAAATATCGTTGGTTACTGTAATTCATATAACGAGCCAGACCTCATTATCGCGTGAGATTACAAGCCTGGACTTCAGGGAGACCTCAAATCATCCTGTAGTTTCTCATAATCCTTCTTTCTCCTCATAAAAAACAAGTATCATAAAAGTAGGTGTTAGGAGTTTAAGAAAGGATACTCTGGCTGGTTTAATAAAGACCTTATAAGGAATCCGAATTAAGAAACGAATGTTAATGTGGTGCTATAATGTTTAAACAAAATATGTAAGTATTACAGCGTTATCTATATAAAAAAATTAAATGTTTTGCTGCAAAATAAATCATATTTCACACGTATGCCATTTCTTAAGTTATAACCAAACATTCCCTTGGGGTTCATGGTACCTTGCCCGGTACGTAAACTAGAAATTCAGTGGTATGCGAAAAATTACAGTCTTGTCTGAAGGATACACACCTGAAGAGAGGAGTACTTAAAAAAATAAAAAAGTAATTACCCGTCAACGGTACATAAAAGAAAGATGATGGATTGAAGTTGACGGGATTAGAGAAATGTGATTCGAATAGAATTTTGACGTGGCATTAATTCCAAATGGGTTATTTCGTAATGCACGAAACTCCCATGAATTTACAATGGTATTTTGTTCTGATTTTCTTGTCTGCAACTGCTGCTTCAAGAAGCTGCAGCTCTCTAAAACTTTCAACACTAAGTAAGATGATTTATACAAAATTTATCCTCCAGACGGTTACCATTAATAGAAGAAATGGCTATAATCTTAACGTGTATGCAAATTTCTTTTTCGAGTCCCATCCATTAACGTACTCATATTTAGAAATGAAAATGAGTCATTGACCATCTTAAAGCAAGGTTTCTTAAGCTGTCTGACCTCATGACTATTTTTATTGAAGAAAATCTTTCGCGATTTTCTAAGCAATTCAACCTTTATATCAATGCAGATAAATATCTTCGCATTATTGAACTATTTCGCAGCACAGAGCAATGAGCAATATTCCAATGACAATGCATAATATTTAATAGTGATAGCAATATGTATATTATAGATTGAAAAGAATAAACTTTGACTGGTTTTCACTCAATTCTCACAAGGTCTGTATAGATGGTATAACATTATGAAATCTCATCTGTAGGTGGTATAACATTATGAAATAAATCTTTGAGTAAAAGACGCGGCTATTCTGTTCTAAGACTACATTATTTAGCTGGCAATCGAATAAACAATGTCAGAATCTCTTTTTCTATAAAAATAATAATAGCCGAAAGTGCGAATCGCCTTCAAATTATCCTCAGTTTTGAGTATTGGCCTACTCGGAGGTTATAATTAAATTCTAATCAACTTACGTCTCTGCTTTGTCACAAAACATCTTTCCTGATTTTTTGAGCAACTTTAATATTAAAAGATGCTCTTAGCTACATTATTCTATAAATCAGGGAACCAATAAAATAGAATGAAAACTGTCATACAATAATATATCATAGTGCAGTATATAATATTCATAATAATATACTATGTAACAAACCTAGTACTAAGTATGGTAATTTTAAGCACAAGATCTCCGAATCTGTGTCATTTCCAGTAAGGTAGCTCTGACGCATATTTTTGAGAATCTAGCATAAAGAAGCGGTAAGTCCGTGTTTCCTTCTGTAAGGGGACGAATCAAGACATTTTTTTATATACCAGTAATTTTCTTTCTTGACCAATGCTCAAAAAATGCTAATTGCAGAAAATCAGTCCTAGCTCAAAATGGCTCCCATGACAATAAGACCCGAACTCATATGTAACAAAACTGATATTTTCATTTCTTTTAATCTGATAAATATTCCTTATGATTGATTTCTTCTGTTGCCTAGAAATGAAAGAAAATGGTTGTTCAATTGAATGAACAAGAACAAAGAGTGAAAACAACAAAGAGAGAATAACAAAGAGTGAAAGGTAGAGGCACTGTTAATACATTCTCGTTAAACACATCAGTGTGTCAATGAAAGTTGGACAGTTGTGACTTCCAACTCTCGTTAAACACATCAGTGTGTCAATGAAAGTTGGACAGTTGTGACTTCCAAACGCCTTCTCAATGAACAAAAAGACATGTACTTAACGAAACAAAGACATATTGAAAGCCTTATGTTTGAAGTATGTCGAAGAGGTCATAAGGACGCATTTTTAATTTTTATGTTCAGTTATCTAGAAAAAAAATCAGCTTCGATAGTTGTTCATTCTTCACACCAATTTGCCATTCCGTTACTGTATAACTCTGCTGCAAACATTTACTACACTTCTGCCTGTTCAACGATCTTACACTCAGATATGTCCAAGATGCTGGCAAATTATCACCCTGAACTGCTGAACCTCTTCAAGACACGGAATAACTACAATAAAACAACATTTCATTAACTTTTCGAAGATGAGTAAGCAAAATGAGAAGTGACTTGTTTTTTTTCGAATTGACTTGCCAATATACAAAAACAAAGTTTCTCTTGAAAAACCCAAGACTGGTTGGTTTCGTACCAATTAGTACTTAAAGTAATTTACTAACTTCAACAGTAAACAAGAACAATTACCATTGCTGAGGAATACGGCAGGCGCTAAGCTTTTCCAAGGCAACATGCAACGTTCACTTCGGCACTAACCTATCTAGTTTTTGAACCCATTAACTTGCTACTAAATTACACAAACTTCTGTTATGAGCATATAACAGCTTCTGTCATGAACGAATGACAGCTTCTGTTATAACGGAATGACGTGCGCTTAGAGAAGATAGGATAGTGTTTAACTTAACTAACAGTTATTAAACCTTAAAAACAATTATCACAGTCCTTTCATTATTTTGTATTGCCTCACTTAAAGATATATTTGCATATTATGAGTAATATTTTATTCTTTTTTATTTAAGGTTATAACAAGTACCAAGTACCTGTCAAATCGGCTCCAGCTGCGGAGTCGCCAAGAATAAAACGTGGTGGAGGAATATCTAATGTTCCACAACGTACCAAAAATGAATCATGCGCACGTTACCAACTATACATCGACTTCGAGCGTATGGGTTGGGCTGCGTGGATCATCAGCCCCAAAGGTTATAATGCATATCAGTGCAAAGGACATTGTCATTTCCCATTGGGGCAAAACCAACGCCCTACTAATCATGCCACAATGCAGAGCATCGCAAGCGAACTGTCTCTGGCACCGAATGTGCTGCAGCCATGTTGTGTGCCAGATAAACTACTGTCAATTTCGTTACTTTATTTTGACGAACACGGCAATGTGATTTTGAAGCAGTATGATGACATGGTAGCAGCAAGTTGTGGTTGCCACTGATATCATCCAATTACCCTGTATTCATACTGCCTTTTCTTAGCATTCTGCCAATTGCCTAAGATACTTTTTAGCTGCCGAGCAGTTATGAATCATTGGAAAAGATTTAGAACTTTTAACATATCTGCATTGCAAGCAGTAACTTCGTAAAGATGTAATGCAAACAGTAACTTCGCATTTTGTGAATATGATTTTATCTGAAAAAATGGAAGTTGACAAGAAACAGCCTAGATTCACCATTCGGATAAAAGCAGTCTTTTACTTTAATATTTTATTTTGATTGTTTTATTCTTTTGTTATTTTGTTGTCAAACAATACCATAAATAAAAATATGCTAAACTGTGAGTAGCTTTATTTTTTTCCTTTTTTTCTTTACTTGACACTGTGAGGTTGTCAATACTTGAGTGATAAAATTGCTGAACATTGGTATTTCGACTTAACCAGAAATTCGCGCCAACAGAATGGATGCATGCTCACTTCTCTGCTTTTTATACGAATGTGAAGTGAACATGAGCAAGTTTCCGTCAATAAATCTTCCAGAAAGAAAACTTTATCTTAGAATGTTGGTCCTTATGAGCTATCCCATAAACCAAGTAATGTAATATCTTACATGATACCGAATTTATTTAGGTGCTAAATTTCTTAAAAGGAAATTCTTAATTTTCTGAGACAGTTATAAAAAACAAATTTAAAATTGATTTTGCACGAATTCAAGAAACGATTTCTTCATTTTAAAAGGGCCAGTCAATGGCCAAATTGATAAGACCTTTGGACAATGGCATTTAGATTGAGGTTCAAATCTCAACATGACCACTTAATAGGGTTTTCGTATTTTTTCCGTACATAACATAAATATAAACCAGTTTCTCTTAGAATACCCTCCACGACGGCATTCATTCTATGAGGCAGAAAGCTCATGTGTTTATTTAGATCAATTAACCACCATTTTAGAAGTAAATTTTAGGAAAAGTGTAATTGCCATCTGTGTCAAAAATAAACTGGTAAATAATCCTATATTAATCAGTGTTCTATGAATTTTGAATAAAAATCTCTAATTTTTTGCAGGTGGGCCTAGAAGTACATCTACTTTAAAACCATGTTAAAAATTTTATAGGTTATAGTACAAAAAATGTTTTCGAAAAATTTATAAAAAAACATTTAAAAATACAAATTTAAAAAATAAATCAATGCATGTATTAACTCGTAGTGATTATAATTCTCAACTTAAATATGTTCACGGCTGGATTAACCATTAAGCAAAATAAGCACGTGCTTTAGGCAGCAAAGAAAGGTACCACCATAAAAAGGTCCTTAAGGACTCAAGGAAAGGGGCACTACAAAAATTTACCATTGCCGGTTTTACTATGGAATGCTTGGTGAAGAGAAACCAGATTGAGAGAGAAGGAGAATGGAAGGTTTAAAAGGGGTATCAAAGGTCCTTTAAGAGCTTGGGATCTTTAAAAGTCTTAATTTGGACTTGAATATCTCTCGTACTTTAATATTAGATTTTTGATTTAAGAGTTTAGAAACGTTTTCATTCCAAAGATTATAAACTGAGTTTATGGAAAGTAAGTGAGATATTAATTTCAGATTTAAGTTCGCCTTGTGTTATTAGCAACTCATCTTGTTAATAAACTTACGCGAATTTCAGGAAAGACATATAAAAACGTGCCATCCGTATTCTTTTAATGTTATCAGCTGTAGCTCACTGCTGTACTGGATGCTATAATAAATATTATACATATATTCCAAATTAAATTAGTATACAGGCATATAAGCTTCATCATTAAATCATTACCCAAGGACTTTAAAACCACGCTACAAGCAAATTCAAAGATGTGTGCGTATGAATTAGAAGCTTAAATAACAACTTGTTAGTCATATTTGTATTTTAAAGGGATGATAATTAGAAGTAATTTTGCAGTTGTCCCTTTTTAATATTTAATTTTTTAGCATTAGTATACCATATTAATACTGCGATTTTATTCTTCCTCAATATAATCTAGTTTCTATTTTTAGTCAAGAATATGGTGCCCTTAATTGAATTAAATCAGTAAAAGGGTTAATTTAGGTTTAAAAACATACTATTAAAATAAAATATTATTATAAATCCAGATTCTAGTTTTATTTTTTGTAAATTTTACAAGCAAAAAATACAAAAATATTTGTATAGTAGCAATATATTTCTTGTTAACATCACATTTAACATTTAACCTGCGTTACATTAAACTGAGCGAATATAATTGCAGTTTGAATTTGTAATTTCTTATCATTTTTGATATTCTAATAATACGTTAATAGTCTGGCCCACCAATAGCCAAGTGATTGCACTGAAATTCATACAGCTTCTATCTCAATTTCTCCTGTATTTCTGGCTTCAATACTGTACATTATCAATTGTTTGGAAATCAAAATTGCTTCTCCTTCTTTTATATAACTACCATCACTAATACCTAGTAGAAATTCCATGAATGTTGAAATTTTCAGTCTTTTCTCCACTACGGTATAGACCTCTGTGACAACAGTTAAGAAAAGAGATTGAATTAAGCCGGAGCCCTTTCCTATGCTTCTCAGTTTTTGAGATAAATCGTAATTCTAGCCGAGGAGCAGAGGAATTCTAAATGAAAGGGTTGCAGCATTTGTTTTATATAAGTGAACCACAATTTCAATATTTATTTTAATAATGAGTATGGCTTAAATGTTAATTTTGACTTCTGAGTGTATGCTTATAACAAACACTTTGATGGCGGTTGAGATTTTTAAGGAAAGAAAGCCTCCATCCGCATGTCAAAGATTTATTCTTCAGGAGCAGCAACGAATTTATAACAGCACGTTACTTTTTGTTCTCGAAGTTTTTAAAAGTGATCACTCAGTCGTACACGCGCAGTGGCTAATCGCACCGACGGTCCGAATAGCCTCTAAAGTATTCGCACCATCTACGTTAGCGCATGCGCACAATCAGCCCAGGTACAAGCATTTTACGCCGATTTGCCATCAAGTCAAGCGGTAGCAGGAGCTGCTTATCTTTCTTGTATGCGATTTCTTTGTTAATTAATTTTTAGTTATTATTACTGAAATTTACGTATTATTTGGTTGACATAACTTGAGGACGATGGATATGACAAAAACAAATTTCTTGCCTTTTGAGTGTGGAAACAAGTTTTCCATATATGTTAAATTTGAAAGGGAAAAAAAAAAAAAAAAAAAAAAAAAAAAACTATGAAAATCAAAATTTTGCTGTTTTGATTAAAACAAGATCGCAAAATTACACGAGGATCATAAACATCGTGAAACGGTATTGTGCAAATATGTTACTGTAGAGAAATATGATGTCATACAGCGATAGCAGCGCCCTCACCTGAAGTAGAAGTTAGATGATATATGCTACACGGGAATGGCGCATTAAGCCATATCCTTTGATTAGTAGAATTTTCCGTATGTTGATTAAGTAACCAATTAACTGTATATATTGTAAATAAATATTTAACTTAACCTTGCATAGATCAATTATAGATATAGATATGATGTTCTTCTTTTAGAAAGATTAATTTTAGATACGGTAGAAGTTTCGCCTTAGAATTTGAACCACCTTTCGCGACAGTTACCTTTGAATGTAAGAAAGGGCATATTCATAAACAGTCATCATAAAAAGTTATATTCATATTCATAAATAGTTAAATTCTTTTATTTAACATAGGAACTTTTATGCAAACTTAAACCCTAGTCTTACAGCGTAGAACTTCGAGAATTTATTATTCAATAATAAAACTTATTGAAAATTGGATTAATTTTTCAGTGTCCACACATGTTTATAAGTTCAAATGCCATATTTAAAAATCAAAATTATTCATGAAATAAAACATTTTAAAATCTGATAATTAATTTGCGTGGGCAAATTTGTCGATCTAAATCTGTTACATTAAATTATTGTCTTTTAAATTATATCCCATTATTTATTAAAATTTAATTTATTAATGTGTTTGTACTATTATTTCAAAGTCTTTTGGAAATATTTTTTGTGTTCTGAAAATGAAGATTATTTAAATAGAAAAACTAAACAGGCATACAAAATTGTTAATAACCAGTATTGCATGATTAATTGTTAATTTAATAGTTTATTTTATTGCTTTTAACTTATTTTATGTGTAAATTTTCTACGCAGACATACTGTTACGGATTTCGTATTTAAATAGCTAATGTTAGTTGAATTATAAATTAAATTGTTTTATTACCCGTGCAGTGCAACGCGTGACGAATATTTAAGGAAAGCTAAGCCAGAAATTTAAAAATACAAGAGCATTTAACATTTAATAAATAAATATCTCTTTTTGCTTTCGAGAAAATTCCAGAAATTTCCCGCGCGCGATTTAAAATCTTATAAAAAGGAAGAAAACCTCTCAATTCAGTTAGTTTGTTGTTGTTTTAAGAGTTTGCTTAGAAAAGTGCTCTTGTTGACTGTAGAGAATTCGCGGATTAGCTTTCTTTAGCTGTTTTGAATTAAGTTCTCTTGAACGTTTGAGTAGTTAAAAGATAACTACTGTGAGATATTGTAATATTGCACGAATATCTGAGGAAATTTAAGCATTTTTTTGTGATAATAATAAACTTTCTTCATTTTTCATCGGACTTGTACATTCATTTCATAACGAACCCGTACGCACGCAACAATTTTTGGTGTCAGAAGTGGGATTTTTGAATGCCAATTACAAGAGCGATGGAATACCAATTCAGACTCTTGATGACTGTATTTGTTGCTTTTCAAGAAAAGATGGAAGGGGACGTTAAACCGATGAAATTTGGCCAAGCATCCGTTAAGGACGAGATGAAATTGGGCCAAGGATCCGTTAAGGAAGAGATGAAATCCGTTAAGCTGCTATCACACGGCGGTTTGTTTCGGAAGTAAAGTTACATGGCGGTTTGTTTTCGGATTTAAAGTTACTTCTCGTGGAATTTTCTAAAGTTCCAGTTGTAATTACAGGAGTGGAATTCACCATTTTGTTTTCTACTTTTGTTTTTAAACTGATGTATTTATCACGATATGTTTCATTCGGTCAAATCAGCCAAATATTCACTTCGTTTTCCTTTTCAACAAAAGTTCCGAATTTGTGACTGAACTTCATCTATCTGTTATTTTTCCTTCCAACTGGAGCTCAATACTTGGAGTTGATTAACTCCACGTCAGCTTTAGAATTCAGCATCTAAAGCATTGGCAGTAATCGTAAACGTTGCTTAGAGGCTTACGCTTTCGTAATAAAATTTCCATGATTTTAAATTCAGTAATGTCCAATATATTCAAATAATAAAGGATATAATCAAATAAATCATAAACTCACTTGATAAATTCC